CTTCTAATATAAACAACTGGAGGCCTATATCACTAGTAAACTCAGATGTCAAAATTTTTATGAAGCTTCTTGCAAACTGAATTAATCCTATATGCAACAAAATTATTGGCCCAGCATAGCAGGCCTTTATCACTAACAGATCAATTGCAGATGCAGCACTGGATGTATTAGTAACACTAAGAAATCAAAACGACCAATCAAAGCAACACTGGTTGTTGCTGTTAGATCAGCAAAAAGCCTTTGATAGAGTTAGCCATCACTTTTTACAAATCACACTTAACAAAATGAACTTTGGACAAAAATTCATCAAGGTGATAAACTCACTTTTCACAAGCCAAAGTGCACATATAGTTGACTCAGGCTATATATCAGAACCTTTTAGAGTAAAAAGAGGAGTTAGACAGGGTGATCCACTTTCACCACTACTCTATGTTTTAGCTATAAACCCACTTATTAGTACAATTAACAGGGATATTAAGGGAATTCCAGTCAACAATGCAAGATTCAAAATTGCAGCATATGCAGATGATATTTCTCTAGGAATCGGATCTTCATCAGACTGAACTAAAACTTTAGAAATTCTACACAAATATGAAAAAGCCTCAAATGCTAAAATTAACAAGACCAAATCAATTCTAGTACCTATAACATCTAATGCTAAAAGAGTTGAACTATTAGGTCAATCAGAATTTAAAATACTTGATAATGATCAAAGCTATATAACAATACTAGGCTACAACATTGACATAAAAGGAAATCCAGAAAAGTCCACTTGGGAAAGCCTTACAAAGAAAATCAAAGATAAAATTAACGAACTTTCACAAAGAAATCTCTCTTTCAAGAAAAGAATTCTAGCAGCCAAAATCTTACTTATTTCCAAAATATGGTATCTGGCATACCTTCTTCCTCCAACAAGAAAGCAGCTAAATGAAATTAACCAATTACTAACAAACTGGATAAAAAGAAACTCCAGAATGCTACCTCAATATTCAGTATTTCAGCTCAGCTATGAACAAGGTGGGCTTACCGCACCTATTCTAAGGAATATGCTAGATGCTAGACTACTCTCAACATGGCTCAAACTCTTATCAAGTAATACGTTTTGGGCTACTGTGGAGAGAGACACCATAACCTCAGACCTCTATAACAAAAGAAACATTTCAGTTTTAAATGCACTAACACAAATGCCACTCAAACTAAAGACTGGACCGATAGATAGAAGCCCTATTTAAATGCATGGAAAAGTTTTAAAGGAAAAATAGAAACCAACAGCACCTGGCCATGGCAATTAGAAGAAATCCAAATAGGAAACATATCAGGCAACCAATACAAGGTTAAAGAAGCTCTACACCTCAATAAACCTCAAAAAAAGACAATTCGAATGGTTAAACATAAAAGAAGTTCTTAACAAGAAAAAGGACATAATTTGGCATCTCACTCACTATGCACTCACCCTAGGATATTGACTTATACATATTAGTCAAAGCAATCTGGAAGATTGCTCTAACTGCCCACATACCACTCAATCATTGGAACACTTTGCCTTAAAGTGTTCTCTTAGCAAGAAAATATAGGAAACAACTTACAAAATTTTAAAATATGCAGCTAAACCCACTCCGTCCACAATAGATAATATTCTTCAAGCCACTAACATATCTTTAGCTTATAAAAGGAAAGCAGCTATCTGGATTCACATGAACACTTTATGGTGCTGATATACCCAAGCTAGATGAGGTAGCAAAACTATACCTATAGAAACAATAATTAACATAGTGAAACTTAAAATAAAGCATGAAATCAATTTATTACATACACTTGTAGCTAGAAAATCACCAACTAGAAATAGAAAATTAGATTCTATTCTAAGATTCATAAAGTAATCTTTACAAAATATGTAACCCTATAATAATTAAATAATTACAAATAAAATGCATGCTTAGATGTGTTTTTAATAATAAAAAAAAAAAAAAAACTTTTGAAATATCAAATGATCCAAACCTAATAGCAAAACTACCTAGACACACACATGTTGGTGACCACAAAGTCACTACAGACTGAAAGAAGACTGCAAAAATATGTTATTACTGTGAAAAAACAGGAAATATTAAAAAAAATTGTGCAGAACTTAGAGCTTCAATAGAACTAAGACAGTTACAAAAAGAATGAAAGAAATTCTTAATAAAAACAAACAAACTTAACCAAAAAATGCAAACAGAAAATATATCCTATAGTCCAGAAAACCTATACATCTTAGATATAATTGCAGAACAAAATGAACCAAACACTAATATACCAAATTCTAATTATCTAAAAGAAAATGACTTGATCAAAACTATAAATGATCAGGGCTTCATCTTTAAGGAAAACACAACTAGTATCTCTATTTTGAAACATGGTTCACCTTTAATAGAAGTTGCAAACTATAACTAAGATATAACAATAGAACTATTGGATAGCAACAAAGAAAACAAAACTGAAGAGAAAGAATTTATTATGGTCACTTCAAAAAAGAACAACTAAAAAGAAAACAATTATCAAATTCAAAAACTCTCTCTGGTTCACTACTAGAAATATAACAAACACAAAATTTCATTACAATACTAGAAATTACTTTTTAAAACTCAAGTAAAGTAAAGACTTTTACTCTAAAAAAGCACAAACTATTTGTAAATATGAACAAGTTACAACACAAGAAAGTCAAACTTGATATAGTCAAAGAAAGAACCTTTAGCTTTACTGAAAATGAAAAAAAACAAAGAAAATAAAGAAAACTTTATAGCAACAAAAGTAAGCAACATTCCAAGAGTCAAAAACAGAACTGAAGCCTTTACTACTTAGCAATAAAAGGAGCTTCTACAAATTGGACTTCACATGTAAAGAAGGAGTTAGAAGCCAAAAAAAAGGAAAATCAAAGCTCTTCAGAAAAGGCAAAAACATACTTTAACCAAGCTAACCAAACTAGAACAACTAATGGTCAACAAGATACAAACAACAACCAAAAGAAAATATATGCTTTAGAAAATAACAAACAACACAAAGTTGAGAAAGACAAAAAATACATACAGAATATAACAGGTAACAACTAAAAACATGTGCAACACATGCTAAAAAAACAAAAATCAAACACATATAACATGAAAAGCAAGAAGACAGAGCTGCAGAAACCAATCTTACAGACACAACAGCCTATACCTACACAAGAACAAACAAAGTAGAATCTGACAACAAAAAAATAAGGCCAAAGCAGTAGTCTGATCTGTTTTCTAAACTAAAAAGTGAAAAAGCCACCTTTGCAAACTACTTGTCCAAACAGAAAATATACTTTAAGAACAAGAATATATTAATTATTAATATACAAAGCTTAAACAACATTTTCAACAACAATATAATTGCAGCTCTTGCTTCAAGTCTGAGTGAAGACCTTATTGAAGCCAAAATTCATATAGCTAAAGGCAAAAGAATATTACTTGAAATAATGCTTAAAAACAAAGAAAAAGTACAATTTTATACTATAGAAGAAATTGTTTTTTTAAAACAAACCTGATTCTTCTGACTGTTAACTTAGAAACATGCCAATATGAGACATAAAATCAATTAGTAATAAAGTTCTAGAAGCTTTTTAATATATAGAACAAATAGCTTTAATTAAACCATTATTTTTTGAAAGAATATTAGTTTGCTCAGACCAATAGCTAATCACTTTTGAGACTACAGATGATCCAAAGCTGTCTACAAGAATTCTAAGAAATATATATATTAATAACCACAAGGTTACTACTAACTAAAAGAAGGCACCAAAAATCTGCTTCTACTGTGAAAGAGAAGAGCATATTAAAAGAGACTGTGCAGAGCTCAAAGCCTCAATCGAAGCTAAAAAAATGCTTAAAGAAGCAAAAAAACTAAGAGAATAGGCAAAATCTCAGAACTATAATACATCTACAATAACAGAATTCAGCAAAGACAACCTATATATTGGCAAAAACACAGAAGAAGAACAAGAAAAAGAAAGACCTTAACACAGAAGCCACAAACAAAAACACAGAAGATCTAGAAATGTCCATGTCAGATAAAGAGGTAGAACTAATAGATAGTCTTAACAATGCCAAGTCTATAATATAAAAATAGACCTTTCTAACAAACAAACAGCCCAGAACAAAATCAAGACATGGATGAGAATGTATCATTTACTCTTGTCACTTACAGAAAGCAAAAAATAAAAAGACCAAATAAAAGTGAACCATCCTTATAGAAATATAAACAGTTCCTTATGGGAATATCTATTATACAAGAACTAACTACCTTCAACTAACAATGATTAATAATTAAAATCAGAATATTAAATGTTAAAGGATTAAATAATAAATAAAAGGCACAAAAAACATTGACACTTTTAAAAACACACAAACTAGATATAATAATAATCCAAGAAACAAACTTTTTTTTTTTTTTTAAAAAAAATGCGAATTGGCATACTTTATTTAATAGATTACAATTACATTATTATCAAACTAATTATTACTATCTATTTACA